GGGGATAAACTAACAATTATAAGAGCTATAAAGACCAGGATTACGATCATAGATGATAACGATAGCAGAGTGCCAGAGACCAGCGAATTATCCAGATGCAGAATAGTATGGTGCCTGCTGAGCATTTAAACATTACGTACAAATCATTACTTCCCACGTTTTTGGTGTTAAAAGCATAAGAAAAGAACTCAACTTCAAGGACTTACTTTCTCAATCATGTTTATAATGAATATGATTGCATTCATCTTTATGAGAACCAAAGATAGTAAATTTTCATCTCAAAGAGAAAGAAGTAAATATGCATATGATTCTCATATGAGATTCGTGGTCTTACTTGGATATGTGACAGTGCTGAGGCATTGGATCCATCCCCCAGAAGATTTTCATATACTTTTTTAGCAGCCTGCACCAGAACGTGCAGCATAGGAAAATTGAAATACGAAAAACTGTATATTGAGGGAAAGTAAATGGATGCATATTTACCTGAATGGCTCCACGTGATTCCTCAAGTTCAGCATAACCATATCTGAGCATTTCGGAGTCTAAGCATAAGAGGCAAAGAATTATCTAAAATCAGAGGAAAATAACATCAAAAAGAAAAGACAAGTATCATCTTGTCATCAAGCATGAAAAGAAAAAAGAAAAATACCAGGAAGAGCTTTAAGAGCTCGCTGGAAAACCTTGATAGCAGAGTCTATTGAACCAGCTTTTGCATGCCATGTGGCATATTCATACCATATGTCAGGATAATGATACAAATGCATGAGGCACTGTCATAGAACATCCAGATCAGTAAATCTGGTTTGAACATAGAAATCAAACATAGGCTAATAGCAACCAAATACCCAAAACCACCTCAATAAGAAAAAACAACAAGAATATCATATGTTTCAATCAACTATACCTCAATGTTATATTTATTGGGGTTGACTGTATGAAAATCTTATGTATCCATTACGCTCTATTCAGAGGTCCATTTCATTCCAATACAAAATAATTTGACTTTTACAGCAAATTTAGGAGTTATCTAAAACTTGCAGTTCTCTGATTCGCTTATCACTGCACTGAATACAAGTCTTTAATCCGGTTAAAGGACTCCAAAAAAAACAAGTTTTTAATGAGGCTAATCACCATTCTAGAAAGAACTAAATAAAACTAATGTGATGGCATAGTTATGAAGTACAAAGTAGTCCTTAAACAAACTAAAGCAGCTCCAATGAAACTGTGCATGAATGCAGAACCAACAATTTATTAAGACTCCGCCGATATCAAGGTAATCCTTTGTCTCAGAGCTAATGATAGTTATGATTCTTTATCTTGCTTCAGCAGATCAAGGCGATTTCAAACTTGTAATTTTGCAAATAAAGTAAACGTACTCAGAGCTTTTCTACTCAATGGTGGTGATAGACCCTAGGGAACATTCGGGAGCCGATTATCTAATTCATGGATGCAAGTAAAGATACATAAGAAAACTTTTAGATTAATCCAAAGAAGAAACTCTGAACTTTTAGAAGTTTATTTAAAAAAGCACTCTAACAATTAATGTTTAGATGATTTATTTTGATAGGTAACAAATGTTTACAAGGTTGTGCAACTACCACTCCAAATCTTTACAGATCCATTTGTCAGGTGCTTATGTCACTACTAAAGATATGTGTGTACGACCGCATAGTAGCCACAAGTTTTTACAGATCCTCTTGTCAGGTGCTTATGTCATTTTAAATATATGTGTGCACGACCACATAGACACCGTGTATCAAAAAAGTTAAGAAGAAATTCACAGCTAGCCAGCTAGGAACCCTCAGGTTGCAAGTATTGAGCTTCCCGTCCAATAGGAAGAGATTTGCTGAATGAAAGTGAGGTACAGTTGCTAAGCAAAAGGTCTCTCAATTTTTTATTAAAAGCACATATCAAAAAGGCAAGTACTTTAAGATACTATATAAGTCATAGAAGAATAGAACACACACACATAAAACTCTACATTGCCATTGGCCAGATAAAAGGAAAGAATGAAAATCTAAGTAAAGAGACAACGATATTTTAACGTTTATGTCTCCTATACCTGCTCATATGTGAACACAATTCTTTTATTAGCAGAAGCACTGTCTATCCTCTGAGGGTTTGCTCTGACATGAAGACCAGAATAATTAGATGAGACTATCTTCGATTTTACTTTCAAAAGAAAAGAATCCATGATAAGAACTGACTTTTAAAAAGGAAAAGGAGAGTAACAAGGCAGCAACATGTGTGAAAAGTATAAACTCTTGCTTTTATAACAAAATATTAGAAGTATCTATACAGTTGGAAATCAGGTAGGTCTTCACGCCAAACAAGTACATTAGTTCCAGAATAGAAAGAAGTATAATAGGTGAATTCAGCAGTTGCTAATGTGAACATTCGGGAATAAGGAACTACACAAAATTTATATGGGCCTCTGTTATAACTCCAAGTTACATGGTTAAAGCATTAGCAAGTGAAGTATCAATAAGCAAAAGAAATTACAGACTTATGTCTTATGTTAGGGACTAAAAAAACAATCAGAGAGGAACTAACTAATTTCGACTAAACTAAATGTCTTTTAACTAGCCATGAGGCCAAAATCACAATCTAGCTGACCGACTGATGTTACAGGACCGTCCCTTACTTCTCAAATGCTAGAAGTCTTTTCCATGCCATCCATTGCATTTCCTCCTGCAGACACATGAAAAATGATTGCTGTAAGAAAACATGCAGAAGTATAAGTGCAACTTGAGAGACACAGAACTATCCTGTAAAACTTTTATGTCATCACTTTTAGATTACATGAGAGTCTCCACAAGAAACTAGTTGAGGTGAGTATAACACATTTCCATTAAACATCTATCTCACACACATGAAGATGTTGAACATGCCCACAAAATGGGGTGGTGAAATGTGCAATCTAATTGGCCTGATTCAACTGTAATTTAAAAGTTATCAAAGATACTTAAGGAATTGCCTTGGAAGTGCCGGAAGGTGGAATCGCTAGCATATTCCAATCAATTTCATCAATGTACTTCTTCCTTTCTCTGTATACAGCCCTCGCACTGTTATATTTTGGTTGGTATTCAGACACCAGCCCTTTTGCCTGCAATATAATCAACAGAGAATATCTCAAATACCAGTTACTACTATCAGCATACATGCCAAACATTTGTACCAGAAAGATTGCCACATTTTGAAAGAAATTAAAGAAGGTTAAAGTAATGTCATCTGAAAGTTAATATGAGCGAGTAGATGACTTCTAAAGATAACCAAGTGGAATATGCTAAACAAAAGGTAGATCTATCCTCCTACGAAGAGTTCAGGAACAAGATAAAGTGCAGAAACTTAAAGCAGTTTTCTAAATAACTTACTAGATTAACCAAATTAAGTTCCATCATAATGGGGCGGGAAGAACGAGTTGAGGGAAGTTTTTCCTAACTATATATAGTGTATCTTGCCAGAGAGAGATGACGATCCAACAAATTTGTAGGTCTCGTGAAGAGGTAGTTCGTTGGGATTTGATATTCAGGAGGAACCTACAAGATTGGGAGATGGAAGAATTTCACAGTTTGGTTGAGATTTTGTATGGGTTGGACAGACCAAACAATACACCGGATGTATGGAGATGGCGGGAGAGTAGATTCACTGTTAAATCGTACTATAAGAGGTTATTAGTGAGAGGAACGAAATTTCCCTCATTGCTCTATTTGAATCCCCAAAGCTTCGAGAAAGGTGTGTTTCTTTGTGTGGTTGGCGACAAGGGGAGTGATTTTGACAACGGAAAATCTGAGAAAGAGGAGGATCACCTATGTTAGTTGGTGCTTCATGTGCAAAATACTCGGGTGAAGATGTAGATCATCTTTTACCGCAATTGTCAAGTGGCTAATTGTTTGTGGAGGTTGGTCATTAATTTGTTTAGGGTGCAACGGGTGATGTCAGGCACAGTGAAAGAGGCGGTGCATAGTTGGACTCACATGAGGGGAAAGAGAAGTCCAAGGGTATGGAGTGTTGCCCCCTTAGCTATCATATGGGTTATTTGGAAAGAGCGAAATAGGAGGACATTTGAAGGGGTGGAACAAGATTTTGTAAACTTCCAAAGGAGCTTTTTGTCTCTAGTTTCTTTTTGGTGTACTCATGAAGTCCCTATTTGTATAGAGGATTGGACCTCCTTTGTTGAGAACCATATTATAGTATAGGTTCTCTTCTTTTGATATATGGATTATATACGGGATTTCCCCAATTGTTAATAAAATTATTTATCTTATCAAAAAAGAAAAGTTTCATCATGATGGACTTTTATTATTTTGATAAATCAATATATTTTGATCCTATTCCCATGGTAGTTGGGTTGATTGCAGCTTGATTTACTAAAAATGTTACATATGAAGCTCTTTCTCTATTTTCTCTTCTTGTCTAAGAAACAAATCACCTTCAGATGGCTTTATGAGAAAGTCTACATGGTCATTTCCTAAGATCATCTGCTATTCTTCTAGCTAAATTAGAAAATAATGTTGGAGAATGCATGACAAAGCAAGAGAAAGTACAATCCATGTGAGAATCAAGGCCTCTAGCATATCAAGTCAAGCATCAACCTCTTTAGCCTTTGAGAACCTCAAACTATGTTGTGTCATTTTTGCTTTTTTTATCACGGTGGTGCCTGGACAAACTTATGACTATTTCGCCGCGTACTAGTGGCCTCCATCAGCATAGGTATCAGGTAACTCCGTCCACCAAGGCTTAGGCAAATGGGAAAAAATCACCTAGTATTTTTGGTCTCTGCTGACTGTTGTTAGGATTAGAACTTGAGAGCTCACAATTCCCCTCCCACTTCATTCACCTCAAAACATGTTATGTTAAGTATTTGCTTGGCTACTGTATTAATTACTTCCGGTATTTTCCCCTCTTTTTTTGTTTTTATAGGTCAAAATAAAGTTGATTAGACTTTTTTTGAAATGGTAAGGTATTATAGATATCAAAAAATCAGCACTAAGAGAGTGTTGTGGTTACATCCCAGAAA